CCGCTATTCGCCGAGATTGATCACGTGAGCAGCAAAGAATCCTGCGCCGTGCAGGAAAGTCGCTTCGCCGACGTCATGATGTCCTACGCCCGCTGAGCGTTGGTGCGTTAGGAATCCTGATCCACCCCGTGATGTCGTCAGATGACGTGGGGAGCCACTCTTCGTCATTAGGGAGTTTTCGTAGACCGCGTGTCCTCCTCCGCTAAGCCCTCCGCAACGAAAAAGCCGCTACTGCGCCTGCGCGCCCATGGCCTTGACTGGAGAGCTCCGCATACCGTAGCGGGTTGCGGAAAGCTTTGCGGGACGGCGAAAACGATCAACGAAAACTCCCTATTATGCAGAAGTCCCGCTTGCCGACGGTATTGCTGCCAACGCAGGCTCCCATGAGTCATTCTTGTTCTTGCTGCTTGAGTTCTTTCATCTTGTGGCGCCGAGCGAAATAATCGGGCTGCGGATGACACAGTCCGGGGTTCAGTTCCCGCCAAGTCGCGGGGTGACTTGCTTGTTACAATTAATTACACCCACCAATTATAATTACGTGCGGTTAATCATGGCCAAGTCTGCCCTCTCTTTGGGTGCTCATTGAGGGCCTACTTTGTGCTATATAAGTATATGCTTCATGTTGACTAAGCCTGCGTGTAACGATTTTTCGTCGCTCTGGAGCGTTAGACTTCGCATCAATTCCATTCCATAAACTGATTTTGCGTGAAAAATTATGCCGCAATCGCTGCTGTCGCCGCGCTGATTCTGAATGAAATGCGTTATCATTTAGCGCAGGGGTTCCGACTCCGCGAAGGATGGGACTTCCAACCTCGCCACGGTCCGCGTACTGTTATGTTCGGAGAGCAGTCTGTTCTCCCGGGAGTCGGCGGTACCGGGCATACTGTTGTGTTCAAAGGGCCAATCTTTCCCAACGATTGTCCCGTATCAACGGGACAATCCTTCATCTTAAACTACATTTATTTTCGACTTCAAGCACGGTGCCCGACCGCTCCTTGGGAAGAAGGGAGGAGGAAACGCTTGGGAGGGGGGGGAAATACCAGGATTACGGGATGAAGGTGGTCTGCGTAGCAGCCTGTACTACTGACCTCGCCGCGTGGTCTCGCCGTGTTCGCCAGCGCTCGACACCCATCGTCGGACTCAGAAAAGCCAACTCCTTTTGTGACAGAAAAAAAAAATTGGCTTGCTCTTTATGTTTATACAGCCTTGATGGAGATGCGCCTCAACGGGTAATCGGTCTCTTAGCTGTAGATGAGAAATTTGGCCAGTGCGGTACAACCGCTAACCTGGGGTTTTTAACGTGCATCACGCAGTAGTGATCGCACGAACGCGTGCCGGTACGAAACTCATCCAGATCGAAACGGGCGGGGGCGGCGGGGACTCGAACCCAGGAGGTTCCCAGCGCAAGCTTTCGCTCCACGCTCCGAGCTGAGACGCGTTAGCCCACTCGGCCACTTCCTCCCCAGCTTTTGTGACAGCGAGATGGATGGAGTACTTATATTCTGCGGGCTCGTCACCGTCCGAAAGACTGATTATTTCACGCCCGAAACGCTCTCGATGGCTCCCCAGGATCGTCTTGGAGGCAAAATTAGACGCGCAGCCAGGGCATTTTCTCCCGTGAACAGTGATTAAAGTCTGGGGGGTCTCAGAGCCTGGGACCCCCTCCAATTATGGCAGGGGGTCTGAGACCCCCCGCTGTAGCTAAAGTCCCTCTGTATTGGTCCTGTGGTTGGAGAACAGATATGACAAGTCCTTGGTAAATTGAAAGAATACATAGCTGTAGAAAGCTGTAGAAGTGTAGGTTTTATGTTATCGAAGAAACACAAATAGAGCACCCCCCCCCCCCCCCCCCCCCCCCGGCGAAACAAAGCCGGTGAACAGCCTCCTCTCGTAACGTCATCACACTCAGATGGTGCCAACCCACGTCGTCCACGCACTGATTGCGCAGTATGCAACCCAGTCGGGCGCTGACATGAGTTCAACCACTAGATGGCGGCACTCGTCCGTGTGGCCAGAAAGCTGGCTCGTGGAAGGGATGTTCCTCCTTGGGTGCCTACATGTTTCCGCTCTCACTGCGTCCTCTCACTCCCGGGAACATGTATAGGCACCCTAGTTCCTCCTATGCTCTTAATTTCTTCTTTTTGCAGCTCGCACATGCACGTTCAGCGCTCAGCGCGTGCTCTCGCTGACACATATGCCAGCGAACGTGCCAGTGGTGCCAGCAGTGAGTGCCTAGTTCCCCCAGAAGTGGAGCCCAGCTAGCTCATCTACCCGAGCGAGAGTGCCAAGTTAGTCACATTTTGTTCTTGGATACTGGCTTTGTTTCGCGCTGCAGGGTCGGCAAAGCGATTTTTTTAGGGGCTCGCAAGGCTCACAAGCCAGTAGATATCGTTTAATTTTTCAAGAATTAAAAACATATTCAATCACTCAGTAAAGAATGTTATCAAACGATAAAGAATATATACAAGACATGAGGCCCGTAGACAGAAATTGTTTTCGAGAGAGGGGGGAGGGAGGCACTTTCTCAGGCGACGACTTCCATGCATTAGAAGAGGGGGGCGGGGGGGGGGATTTTGGGATAAAATGGCATCAGTCGAGCCGCCAGGGCCCCGAGATCTTTCCGAGCCAAAGAGACAATGAGCCTACGATTAGCGGGCTCGTCACCATTCGGAAGGTGTCTATAATCTCCCTCCCGACGTGGCTTGAGTAAATGATTCCTGGGTTCTGCTGCGCAAGTTTGCCCTCCATGTTATTCTCCTGACATGTTTAGGTTTGAAGCCAAATGTGCTAATGAACATGCGCTTGTCTCGTTCAGCAGTTGGAGGAACAATGGCCGGGCTAGAGTGAACAGGCACGATCTCTTACGGCCTTCGCACTGGGACTATACCCGTTTACACCTCAAGAAAAAAGGACGTTTTGCTCAATGTTCATACGCCGCGCGAAGTAGTTCTCACAAGATTTGGTTGTCAGAGGAAGAAGCGATCCTTTTGGCGTTTGAAACATGTACGTCTTGATAAGGTAACATGCGTCTAATCTAAAATGCACCTGCATATATCTTTATTATCTACGTAAAGGGGGAAATGAGTAATCCTCCGCAAGAAGCCGTAGTTTTTTTACTACGCTTCTTGAGGTGAAAACAAGTATAGTTGCTCCCTGCGGCGACAGCTCGAAGGGGTCGCTATAACCCTACCACACCTAACGTCCCTGGATATTAAAAACATCGAGGGACTTTAACCGCACCTACAGTGCTTTAATTCTTTCTGAAAGGCACCTCCTCCTCACCGCGTTGTCCTCTTTGCTCCGGGGTTGAGTTGGAGAAGTTTCTAGAGTAATTAGACCCACAGGCGTAGACTACGGGGGGGGGGGGGGGGGGGGGCATCGGGGCTCTTGCCCCCCCGGACCCGGGCCATGATCCTTACCGAGACGTTGTTTACGTTCCATGTAGTAACGAGCTTCTAGTGGTGGCATGTAAACAAAACAACGCCCACGTTGCCTTTATCGACAAAATGCGCGGAAAATGGAATCCCAGCGTGCTTTCATTAGTTTCAATCTCCAGTTCTGGCGAGAAAGTAACGCGCAGCATCCCCCCCCCCCCCCTCCCCCCTACCCCCGGAGAACTTCTCAACGACAGAATCAGCTCCACTTTTCCTGAACTTCTCAGCCTCAAATTTCAGCCATCGTTCAAAAGATGGCGCAAGTGTGAGCCGTCTGCTACAACACAAGTCCTTTTTAATATTTAAGAGAATTACTATGCTTTAAAAAAATTACAGCCATAGAAAGTGATTTTAATTAGAAAGAGAGCAGCTCTAATTAAAGAATCGTTGCTTAAATAGCTGTCCTCTTCTCTGAAACCGGTTTCTTTCATACAGATTTGAACTTGAAAATAGTCCCACGATTTAAATTTCTTTTATAGAAATCTGAATATAAATACAACAAATATAAATGCAACAAAACCAGCCTTACAGGGAACCAGCCCAGTTCCTCTAGCATACAATTAAAAAAAAAAAAACAAAAAAAAAAAAAACGAGATCTGATGCCAGACGGTTATCTGAGAAAACCAAAAACGTGTGAAGAGAATTCTTTGAAATTTTATCACAATCAAATAATGTTTACAAAAAAAGAAAAAAGAAACTGTTGGAGTTGCATTTTTAATATTTTTTTTGTGCTGAGTTCCTATGTTTACCAGGAGCGTTCCCTTGAATGTCGTTGCTGCCTTATGACGTGAAACTGAGTTACGACACTTCAAAGTCGCATAAAAAAGGCTCTTTTTTAATAAATATAAAAAAAATGTGAGCATGCTAATTCAGAAAAACACGTATACACGAAACTAGACGAGTCCTTCACGTATTCAATAAAAAAAAAATAAGAACGCCTCTTGGATGCATTACAAGTCTACAAACTTGAAACGCATAGAGGTATATCTTTGAAAGTATCAAAACTTGCACTTTTTGTGCGTTAAGTTTTTGAAAAAAAAAAATTCATATCACATTCTGCACTAAAGGAGTGATGATAAATTGTCAATTTATTTGCAAAAAGAACGAAATACGTGGCACGCGCACAGACGCGACATTTGCACCCTAAACAGGAGCGTTATATACTTCGTTTCAGCTTCGGTCCAGACGCAGCCGATGCTACAAGCGCGATCATGTGGCCCAGAACAGTGCTTGCACTGCTCTGCACTGCACGGCAGCTTGCACTGCACAGCTGCCGCCGGTGTTGCTGGGGGGCTATGTTGCGCTCTTTGCACTCCCAGGAGACTAGGGAGAGGGAAGTGACGTCAACGACACAGCAAACGCAGATTGGGTGTTGATTTTGTTTTCTTCTGTCAACATGCAATCTGCATTTGCTGTGTCGTTGACGTCACTTCCCTCTTCCAAGCCTCCTGGGAGTGCAAAAAGCGCAACATAGCGCCCCAGCTCCCAATCTCACTGTGATGACGTCGAAATGCAAGTGCACGCCGTGTGTTGCCGTTCGACAAAGAAGAGGACGAAGCCACGGCCATGGCCACCCTGGATGTGACCATCATCCAGGAGTTGGGCCTGGAAAAGAAGGGCTTCCGCGCCGTGGCACCCAACGACAAAACGACCAGCTACTTGTCCGGTTTCAAGAACGCCTCTCACTGCATCGTTTGGGCGGCGAGCGACGCCAAGGTGGCCGGAGAAAACCGCGCCAGGGCGCTGATCCTGATGCAGTTCCGTGTCGACGGCAGCCTGGGGTTTCCAGGAGGCGTGCTGAACCTGGGAGAGTGCCCCGCCGCCGCCGCCAACCGCGAGATGAAGGAAGAGATTAACCTGGACACGAGCAAGCTGTTCGTGACGCCCAACAACCACCTCATCACGTTCGTCAACGACCATAGCAAGGTGGCGCTGCATTTGTACTCCTTGCAGATCGGGGAGGAGGACTTCATCAAGCTCGAAAAGAGGATCGTGGACGCCCCCGACTATGGACAGGAGACCCTGGGCTTCTTCAGGGTGCCGCTCTTCAACATGGCCACCGGTGGGTTCGAGACCCTGCTTCGACAGGTGTTCATCGGGATGGCCAAGGAGCAGCTGTTGTACGCGCTGGTCAGACTCGGCATAATGACGTCGGAAGAAGTGATAACTGTGGGCTGCCTGAAGAAAGAAGCGTAACGGGATGAAGGCTTGGGTGGAATCTCGCGTTAAAAGTGGGTGCTCGCTCGAAGGGGCGTTCATTATGACGCTATTGGTCAAGGAGTTTGCATCTTAAATTTCCAGCGTCCTGCACTAAAACCCGTATTCAGTTGAACCCCGGTGTCTCTATATCGTCTAAGTTTACCAAACTTTACTTTCCAGTGTCGTGGGCCAGTGGCATAGTCAGGAATTTGTTTTCGCGGGAGGTGGGTGGGGGGAGAGGGGTAGGGGTGTAGCTAGGATGTCCGTGACTTGAGGTGCGGAGGGGGGGTGGGTGAAAATGCATGAGTACATTCATATAGGTCCGGCTGGACTTCCACTGGCTACGCCACTGCCACAGACGTCATGGCTTCGCTATGCATCTTGAGGAACGCTGGTAACGAAATACAGATGAATGCATGTTCTGGTAACGACTGTAACCCAAAAGTTTACATTTCTTAAAAAAAAAAAAAAAGAAAAAAGGAAAGCTCTGTGTGGAGTATTTGACATGTTCTGAATGAGCGAAGCTCGCTGCTGATGGACTGGGCGACATTCGTCCTGCTTGATTTTTTTTTTTTAATTTAACGAAAGGATGGTGACGGCAGTAAAAGACTCCTTCATGCGGGATAAGACCAGGGCCAGACAAACGTCAGAAAGGCAGGGTTAAAAAATTGGGAATTGGGGGAGGGGGATTTTTTTGTCTTCCTCTCTCCAACTTCGTGACGAGAGTCACGACACTTTTTGGTATGTTGGAACTTAATTCGAGACTGGGGTAGAAACAGAAACCTAAATGTAGAAGGGACAGAGACAAGTGGTACAAATCTCCTAAAGCGATGCTCAAACGGCAGAACGCATATGTTAAAGGAAGCTTGGGATACTTTTCTACATTGGCTTTGCAATTTTAGGGAACGTTTTAGTACTTTTTGTTTGCTATATGGGGAACAACAACGTGGCGAAGAGGCGCAAAATAAAATCGGATGTACCCTGCGCGGCACTGTTAACGCGAAGAAACGATTGCCTTTTTTTTTCTTTTGGAGTCATTGAAACTTCTTCACGTGCTCATTTGGGGCCAGAACGGAATCGCTAAATTATGCTGTCCATCAAACCTTTTCGAACTATTGGCGGCGTGAGCGATCGAAAGCGTCGCTGTGATCGGTCTTCCACTATCTTCCACGATATGCTGCATGCTGATTATTAGCGACGTGCGCGATCGAAAGCGTCGCTGTGGTCGGCTTGCCACGATTGGCCGAATTTTGACTATGATGTCAGCAAAGGATTTCTTATCGACGGAAATAAGAAGAATACGAGAACTTTAATTTTGACGGTGTTGGCAGTGCTGCTTCGAGAGCGCAATGATTTCAAGCTTCCACCATGCAAGTTACAAACACCATCGAGCTAGTTCTTTGCAAGGTAATGACGTCACGAAAGGGAACCATAGGAGGGCGCCACCAAAACATCTCGCCGCTAATAATGTCAGCAAAGGATTTCCCATCGACGGAAATAAGATAAACGGAAGAACTTCAATTTTGACGGTGTTGGCAGTGTTCCTTTGAGACTGCTATGATTTCAAGCTTCCACCATGCTCTTTACAAACACCTTCAAACTTGTTGTTCACAAAGAAATGATGTCACGAAAGGTAACCATAGGAGGGCGCCACCAAAATGCACCGATGTCGTGTTCCTGCTGATATAGACGCTTTGCAGCAGCTGTGCATGGACGCCCCCATAACTGACCTTCAGTTTTTGCTTCCTCTTATTTCGTTTATTTCACTTCATCATTACCATAGCAGGCCAGGTTATTGCCATATCAGATTCAACTGTGTTCTTTTCTAAAGCATCGGCCTTTGTAGAGGATCGTCAACGACCGTTTCAGTTGCTCGGCATCTCGGTAAGACAAGAGAAGGTCAGCAATGGCGGCTGCAATTTGGCGCGTGTGTAAAGCGTCTATACTCTGTTTCACCTTGTGTTGTACCGCAGAAGAGGCTACAAGTGCGAGCTCCTTGCTCTAGCGCACATCTCGGTGGCACAAGCTCTCGTGCACCAAGGACAGCTGCCAACGCTATGAGCTTGCGCTTGTAACCTTCGCTGCGGTACAACATAAGATGAAACGGAGTATAGTGTCGGGCAAAAACAACAACAGTGACTTTAACAACAGTCGAGGAGAGAAGGTATTTCAGTTTCCACACGCTTTCGCGCCGTTTGTGGGGCGATATTGTTTATTCTGCTGTAAAAAAATTATTTGTATGTCTACTCTCCATCAGAACCCTTGGAAACCCAACCACTGCTATCTAGAGCCAACCACTGCAATCTCAGCGACTGACAAAAACAAAACTGCAAGGTGTAAAAAAACATTGTTTACTACTATTGTGACTTTTTTTTTTTTAACCGCAAACCGAACCTGCAAATGCCAAAGTTTAAGAACTGATCGTTTTTTCTTAACTCAAAATAAAGTCACAATTGTATTTCTGAAATTTTCGATGGAAAAATGGCGGCCGATGGAGCTGAATGGCGCCCAAGAAATGTCGTGTAGCTCGGAGAAAAAAAAAGATGAAAGGCGTTTACAACTCCCTGTAACACCGAATTGAAGCGCAGCTTTTGAGGAGGAGGAGGGAAGGGTACTGAGGGTTACCTGTTCTCGGGGCGGGGAGGAGGGGGGGGGGGGGGGGGGTCATGGGACCTTGGGGGCTCACGTGACGCCCCAGAAAAAATTTTCCGCTAGATTTAGCGGGGAAATTTTTCCGCTAAATCTAGCGGGGAAAGTTTTTCGCTAGATTTAGCGCGGAATTTTTTCCGCTAGATTTAGCGGGGAAAGTTTTCCGCTAGATTTAGCGGGTTAATTTTTCCGCTAGATTTAGCGAAGAAATTTTTCCGCTAAATTTAGCGGAGAAATTTTTCCGCTAGATTTAGCGGGGAGTTTTTCCCGCTAAATCTAGCGGGGAAAAATTTTCCGCTAGATTTAGCGGGGAAATTTTTTCGCTAGATTTAGCGGGGAAATTTTTCCGCTAGATTTAGCGGGGAATATTTTCCGCTAGATGTAGCGGGGAGATTTTTCCGCTAGATTTAGCGGGGAATTTTTCCCGCTAGATTTTTCTGCTAGATTTAGCGGTCAAATTTTTCCGCTAGATTTAGCGGGGAAATTTTTCCGCTACATTTAGCGGGGAATTTTTCCCTCTAGATTTAGCGGGAAAATTTTTCCGCTAGATTTAGCGGGGAATTTTTCCCGCTAGATTTTTCCGCGATTTAGAGGAGAAATGATTTAGCGGGGAAATTTTTTCGCTACATTTAGCGGGGAAATTTTTCCGCTAGATTTAGCGGGAAATTTTTTCCGCTAAATCTAGCGGGGAAAATTTTTACGCTAGATTTAGCGGAGAAATTTTTCCGCTAAATCTAGCGGGGAAATTTTTCCGCTAGATTTAGCGGGGAAATTTACCCATAATGCACCGCGCGGTTACGCCGACGGCGACGGCGACGCCGACGCCGCTCAAGCCGAAAACGGGCCCCTAAGAGCTGCGCTCTAAAAATGGTTACAGCAGTAAGAGTAAAACCTGTGAAAAATGAAAGCCGTTTACAACTCCCTGTAACGCCGAATTTGAGCGCAGCTCTTGAGGAGGAGGAGGGAAGGGTACTGGGGGGTTCAGTTGACCTCGGAAGGGGGGGGGGGGTCACGTGACCTGGGAGATCACATGACCTCGGGGGGACGGGTCACGTGACCTGGGGGGTCACGTGACGATGACGTTATCAGTGATGATGACGGTGCCGATTACATCATTGGCATCCGCATCGCCATCGTCATCATGACTGATGACGTCATCAGTGACGTCACTGATGACGTCATCTTCATCGTCATCATCACTGATGACGTCATCGTCATCGTCATCATCACTGATGGCGTCATCGTCACGTGACCCCCCCTCTAGGTCCTCCCGAAGGAACCCGAGGTCCTCCCGAAGGAGCCCGAGGTCCTCCCGAAGGAGCCCGAGGTCCTCCCGAAAGAACCCGAGGTCCTTCCGAGGTCCTCCCGAAGGAACCCGAGGTCCTGGGGGGGGTCACGTGACGATGACGTCATCAGTGATGATGACGATGACGATGCGGATGCCGATGAAGTCATTGGCATCCGCATCGCCATCGTCATCGTCACTGATGACGTCATCGGCACCCGCATCGTCATCATCACTGATGACGTCATCGTCACGTGACTCCCCCCCCCCCTAGGTCCTCCCGAAGGAACCCGAGGTCCTCTAGAGGTTTTCCCGAAGGAGCCCGAGGTCCTCCCGTGGCCCTCCCGAAGGAACCCGAGGTCCTTCCGAGGTCCTCCCGAAGGAACCCGAGGTCCTTCCGAGGCCCTCCCGAAGGAACCCGAGGTCCTCCCGAAGGAACCCGAGGTCCTCCCGAAGGACCTCGGGTTCCTCGGGAGGACCTCGGGCCGCGCGGTTACGCCGACGGCGACCGCGACGGCGACGGCGACGCCGACGCCGTTCAAGCCGGAAACGGGCGCCTAAGAGCTGCCCTCTAAAATGCAACTGCAATTAGGGATGTCAGGTTATCCGTTGGGGTTTTGGGAGTTCGTAGGTGGGTTGATTTAAAATTCACAAGACGTTTATTAACTGGGATTACAATCGGTTACACAAGGTTACAAATTATGTCGGAGGGAAGAGCGGTCGTCCCGTCCGTATCGTACGGCGTCCCGGAGTCGTCTCTGTTGCGAAGGGGCTTCTCCTCGGTGAGACGTAACCCGACGCCTTGCTCCTCTCGCCTCGGAATCCCGCCCGGGTCACGTAAACCGGGGGCCCGATTCTGGGGGCTCCACGGAGGTGCAATGGGAAAGCCCGGGCGGGACGAAATTTTTGGTCGACTGTCTGGGTCTCTGTCTGGCAGGCAAGGTGACTCTCCGCGCGGAAGGCGCTTGACGCTGACACGCCCTCCTTTAAATATCATCTGTCCTCAGATCACCAGGTCCCTCGGCCGTGGTGAAGAGTTCTGCCGGATTCAGGTCCCGTTCGTTGTAGAGACGAATCTGTTCCACGTTGACTGTCTTCACATTTAATTTCCCATGCGCTGGCGAAATTCGGCGAATCGTTACCAGGTTGTCTCCGAGGAGG